TTTGACCTCGCTTCCGCATTTGATATTTTTGAATATAAAATTCCATTTTAAATTTCCGGAGCTGCTACAAAATATGTGCTCAAAGCATATGGTTACCTGCCCTTTTTCCATCTCTTCTACAAATTTCATATATACATATACACATATATATATATATATCTAGAAAAACTATTTTCTTAATAGCTAAAAAAATGGAATATATATCCACAAGTAAAACTCTAAATATAATGAATATTGCGTTTTCTTTGTTTTTGCAACTATTATTACCATAAATTCAAATAATTACTTCTAATTTGTAACTCATAAAGAAAAATATCAAAAAAAAAAAGAAAGAAAGGAACAAACCAAACAGCCAAATTTAAAGATGGTTCATGTGTTTAATTAATTAAAAAAAAAAATCACAATTAGTTCTAAAGGGAAAGGTATTTAATTAAGAGAAGGCATCAAATATTGTAACCTATGAGGATAAAAATAGAAATTAAACACATATATATATATATATATATTTATATAAAGAGTTTCTTGTACACAACCTCAAGTTTTAAACTAAATTAAGAAAAAATTCTCCCTTCTAACTACCATTTATTTATTTAACTCTTTTTCATCTATAGGATTCTTTCTATATGTATTTAACTAAATATAGTTCGTACATATATTTGATATGATACAAATGTGTATATATATATATATACATATATAATAGTGGTTGTTTGTCCCTTTTTTTTCCTCTAAAAAAAAAATTGGCTCTTAAAGATTATCAGCCCACCACCCAATAACCAAAAGATAGAAGAGGAAGAGGGGAAAGAAAAAGTTATAATAGGGTCAAAGCAAGTCTCTCCCTCTTATATGGACATATATATATATATAAATATATATATATATATATATATATAGTAGATGTAGAAATAGGTTGATGAAGAACCACCAACAAATGCTTTTGTTCAGATGCTGCACTACTCCTTGTAGACAAATTGAAAAGACTTGTCAACAAATACATATTGAATTTCAACAAATAATACTTACGCTTAATTAATTTCCCCACAAGTCTTCTCCGGACACAACATTATATATATATATATATATATATATAATATTCTTCATCTATATTTATTTTTATAAGAATATGTTAAAATATAATTAACGACCGTAAAATATTTTTAAAAAAGAGTGGTGAAAATGATCATGATAATGGAGTTTAAAGAAATTAAATAATTGTTTTTATTTACTCTAATTTAGTATTTTTTTATAAATTTAAAAAAGGTATGTCTGATTTTTAATTTATTATAAATATTTTAATTAACATAATTTAATTAACTCGTAATATTTTTTATATAAAAAAACGTAATAAACTTGATAGAAAAAAATTATTATAGTTTCATTAATACATTAATATATAAACTCTATTAAATCAAGAATCAGAGAATGATTATTATTACTCAATAATACATTCACAAAATAATAAATTTTATAACATTAAGAGAGTTTGAACTCGTAATTTTTAAACAAAAATAAGAATTTTAAGTGTTAGACTTCTGTGCTCCCAGTTTGTACTTAATTACTTTGTATGTACACATCACTCTGTATTTTCATATATAATATTTATTAAAAATTAAAAAATATTTTTATTTACTAGATTGATATATAATAATTTTTTTTATGTAGATTAGACATTAAATTTTCTCATAAAAATTGTAAATAGAATTGTGTACATATTTATATGGTTAATTATTGGTTAGGAATTTATCAATTAGTTAATTTGATGGTTGATGAATGTCATTTGTCTTGAATGGTCCTTCGCATATATGTCTTATATTAATATGATGTTTCGGTATACACTTAGTTAGAATTTTGTAGAATCTTATGATCAGTACAATATATATATATATATATATATATATATATATATATATTTAATTTCAACCAGACCGACAAGGGAGAATTGGCATTAGTTTTGTACGTGTATATATATGTATATGTATATGTATATGTATATGTATATGTATATGAATATGATAATGACATATCACTAGAAAATCAATACATACATACGCTCCTAATTTTGATTTTGTAATCTTTTTTCTAAATTTTTTATGCAGTAAGCTGTTGAGACATATATATTTCAAATTAATTAGTTTGCCAACCAAACTCATAAAATAAAATTAAATCGAGAAAAAAAAAAGACTCTCAATAAGATTACAAATATCTCTAGATATTGCATATACATTTATATACCCAACTAACGGAGTAATATAATATATATATATATATAGATATAGTTTTATTTTATTCAACCGATTTGAATTTCAAGTGGCTTAATTTAGGGTGTCAAAAATTGTCGGTACTTACAGATCCAAAGTTTTTTTTTTTTTTTTTTTTTTTTGTTGATAATTTTTGGTTGGTACATAAAATTATATATTGCTAAATAATTTTATTAAACAATTAAATCATATATAATTTTATATTAAATATAACAAGTTGTTTATTGACCCTAAAAAAATATAACGCGTGTTTTAAAATTTTGGTAAGAAATCTCTTGCTACCCATGATCATTTTATTGTTTGTAAATATAATTAACAATTAATAAACTAGTTGTTTATATATATATGCATTATAAATATTATAGTTAGTTGACAAATTACAGTAGTATATATAGTATAATGAGAATTGATAAATGATGCATGTGATGGGATTGGATTTGTTTTAAAAATCTATTAATTACTTATCATAATTAACTAGTGATGTAATTTATATTATATATGAAAGTTGAAACTTGTGCATATTGAGAGACAGAGTTTTTTAAGTTTTCTTACTCAAATCACGTGCCTGGGTCAATTTATTTGAATGTAAATTCTAATATACATACACATTTAAAATATATATATATACATATAATGGAGTGTATTAATACTTAAAAAAAAGTCTTGTATCAATTTCAACCATCACACAAATCTCCAAACTAATATAGTAGATCATCAAGGGAAGGGTATTTTAGTCAATTTAACTTTCAATGTTTAATATGAATAACTAAGTTATTATTAAATTTAGTTATTATTAAAAAAATAAACAATACTTAAAAAAGAATAGTGAAAATATTCATTCTAAGGTTTATTGGATGTCTAAACTTTTTTGTGATTACAAAGCCATTAGGTTCGCTAAAACAAGATTAATTGTTACCTAAACTAATTAAAATCTCCCACCAGCCTTTTAACCTAATGCTGTACAAAAAGTCAACGACAACTTCAACAACTATATATATATATATTTTACAAGCTCTTTCATATGGGTTCTCACTCAAAAAATTCCTAAGAGTTCTAACTATACCTCCTACTTTATTAGTCTTCAAATTTGATCCATAAATACAATTTAGCCTTATTATTATTATTGTTGTTGATGACCCTTGAATTATTAATGTCCCAAAGCTACGCAAAAAAAAAAAAAAAAAATTTGGACTATTTTTGATGGTTGAAAACAAAAGGACAAAATATCCTCCTCTTGTACCGACAGGCTTTCTCTCTAATTAATTAATACACATTGTGTATTATGCCAATAAATTTTGGTGTAAGGCCATTTTAGGTTATGCCATGGACGTCTTAGACTTGTGAATGCCCCACCTTGATTCTCTTTATCATGACGGTGACCCTCACCCCATCTTCATTCATCAACCTTTTTCCAATTTTTATTTCTTAAAAAATAACACATCCCACCAACTTAATCTCCATAAGTTCCTTCTCACAAGCTTCAATCATATTTACAAGTTACTGTAATTTGCTTTATCCCAAAAAATAAATTACAGTAACTCCGTCACTATACAAAACACTACAATCAAAATTTTCAAGTTGAAGCTTGAAGCTGAAGGTATCCCGTGTCTTTAATTCCAGATGGAGAACTTGAATACGTATTTCTCAGGCCAAACACATAGCTTGTACTTCTTTGGCTATGGAGTCTAAGATTATTGCGAACAAAAACAATATCTTCCACTCTCTCCACTCCCAACTTGTTGGCAGCTTCTTGACATGGGAAGTCACTACTACATTCCCATATTTCTTCACAGCAGGAGACACTTGCAACCTGACTCAGTACTTTTATAGCTAGTGTCTGTAAGTCGGACGTTTCAAAACCAAAGTTCTCCCACCATGCAACTGGGTCCATCTTATCTCTACAATCTACAGCATCCTCCTCTCCGAAGGATCCCTCTAGTCGCCAGTAAGAGCTGAGTTGTTCTCTAAGAATCCGTCTGCTACCACCATCACACTCGTATTTCTCAAGAGTTGCTTTCCAACCACGCATAACGTTTTTATCTTTCAACTGACCTCTTCCAAAATATCTAGGGTTCAATATGTAACCTGCAGCATGAAGAGGGGAAAATAGCATGTCCCACCTATCCTCCATTAGAACTTCCACCTGACTTAATAATGCAGTGCTATCAATTCTGTCCCTCAGGGCTTCTAGTGCCTGAACGCGCCAATCATAGATGGCACCCATCACAGATTTGTCGACATCAATTGTAGAAAGTAGTGCAACAAAAGGCTCATATAACTGCAACAGTAAATCAGCTTTGCCCCAGAAATCATCCCCTAGAATGGCAGATTCAACTACTACATGGTCCTGCAGAACACTATGCTTCCATTGTTTCCATTCTTCACCACCAACAACTACTTGAAGGACTTGCTTTAGCTCAAAAATTTTTTTGATAAGACAGTAGGAAGGCGCAAACTTGGTGGCCTGCTGGTCAGGAAAGTCCTTCAGATTTTGACTAAATTGGCCTGGAAATGAATGTTGATATGTCAGCATACATTGCTCAATTGCCTTAGCACACAAGACAGAAGGTTTAATCCACTCAAGTTCAGCCATTTCTTCCATCAATGTACGAACAGAATTTGAAGTACAAGGAGACCAAAATATGTATGGGAACTTCAATGATATGATGGATTCAGATGATTTGCAGGCATGTCCTAGACACGAAATTACCTGAAGCACATATTTGGGCCCAACTTCAATAATTGCATCACTAAGGGCACAAGCAAAGACATCATCTGCATCAACATCATCATGTACATCTAACGCTTTCAAGAATATCAATCCCCTCGGACTAGAGACAAATACACTAATATGGAAGAGGCCTAGAGTGGCATCAACTCGATTGACACATAGTATTGTGCACCCTGTGTGAGGCCATGATTCCCTAATAAGAGACGAGGCTTTCTCTATCCTTCCTTTCTCCTTATTTAACAAAGAACCAGACAACTTTTCTACTGATGGTGGTTCATACCCAGAACCAAAAACAGCAATTGTCTTCACCATTTCATGAAAGTAAGGAGAATTCACAATATTGATATTCAATCCATCAGCATAGAAAAATCTTGCTACATTATCATCTACATCTTCTTTAGTGGTAGTTTTCCAGCTATGACTTGCCAGTGAGGCCCGTATGTGTTTACTAGGCTTTCCATTTCCAGAGTTTTTTTTCTTTTTCCGAGCAAGGCGCTCCTCTTCTAGGATCTGAAATGCTTCTCTTAAGGATCTGTCTATCGCAGGGCAACTTTTGACCCCAACACCTGAGAACCCAAGAAGGTGGGCTCTAACACGCGAATAAGATCCATTATACCTTAAATTACAGTGGTTACATTTCCATCTCTTAGTGCCACTTCCCCTGTCAAACCCACCAAACACACTAACATGATCCCATCCCCACTTGTCAGACTCTGATGGCAATGGCATATCTTCAGTACATGAACACAAGAAAGGAACAACAGATGTCTTAGTATCATGAATTGCAACAGAAAACATGACCGTCAGAACAAAAACTTCAGATCCCTCACAAGAAAATAAATAAAGGATATAATCATCAGAACCATGTTAAGGATATAAGACAGTTAATGAATCTGTCATAAGATTAACCAGAAGTGAAACCCATATAATTTTCAAATGTATATTGCAAGCAAAAGAACTGATTCCTCCAAGCTAATTCATTACATTACGCAAAGGCCTTGTGTCTCACATGTGAATTCCTGGCCATCCCATCAGGGGCAGCTCAGGTTCAAACCCCATTGATTTTATCCTGCCTAAAGAAATGACAGGCATTAACTGATACAAAAAAATTTCACCTAAGATATCTATCAACAAGGCTGTGTTGCTGCAAAATTTATGGAGTATGTTGAACACACTAAACCTCCCAACTTTAGCCAGTACACCAACTTAATATTTATAACAATTAAAGCTATAGTCAACCACCCATGAAAATAATGAATAACAGTGCTCATTTGTTGATTTAATCAGCTGTACATTATAATCATATCTACAATAATTCTGGCATGTCAATGAGTTCCTTGGTACTAGGAGTGCAACAAGCATAACTTAAGAAGATCAAATCTCAGCTGATTCTCAGTACAAGATTTCAACGTTTTGTATCATTTACACCTCAATCAAGCTATATACCTAGAAATAGTTTATTTAATTCCTATTTTATCCCCAGTATGCCAAAAAGTTTTAAAATACTGATGCTGAGATCTCCACAGATATGTCTGGAAGTTCAAAGAGATAAGAAAAAAGGAAGTACTTTGTTCCATTTTTTGGATGCTTAAAAATAAGAGAGAAAAGAACTGATGCATGATGAGCAATAAGTTTCCAAAATCTAAAAAATGTTGCAAGAAAAAGAAAGAAAAATTCTCTATCCCCTCCCTTCACTCATCTTCATTTTCCCTCATCTAAACACAGCTTAAATCAACAAGCAATTCTGCAATCAAAGAAAAGAACAAATATATGTAGGATCATGCAGGGGCAGAACCAGAAATTTTTATTTTGGGTGGGAGGTCATGGTACTGGAATGTGGCGACCAAACTGAATATGCCAGAAGAGTATTTGAAACGCAGAAGTTATAGCAATTAAGGGAAAGATAATGGTTTATTGTGCGCACTTAAGAGCTAGAAATGTAGAAAGAAGATTATTCACTTCTTAAATAATTTGAGCAGTCAAATAGATACAGACGCAAAAAACAAAGAGTAAAGAAAGAAGCCTCAAATAAAGATCCCTGTTTTTTGGGCCCGATTACGTCTGGATCTAGTACTTTGGAAAAATAATAATCCAGTCCCTGTCTTGAACAAACATTCTACTCAGTCATTATGGTCAATAATGTAAAGCCAAAAAGCAAAAAAAAGGGGGCTCATAAACCAAAAGCAGGAAACCATGGTAGCATTAAAACTAGTTGCTTTTTGGCCTAGGGCTTTCTTTGAGGAATTCTTTAGGAATAAAATAAAACAAAGAACTAAGTTACACAAGAATAAAATACATAGAAAATTGAGTTACTTGGGAATAAATAAAACAAGAAAACAGTTGAAATTGGGTTGATTATCTGGGAATTAAATAAAATAGAAAGTTGAGTTATTTAAGAGTACAATGAAATAGGTAACAAGGCTCTAATAGAGATCAGTTAGATCCTGGAATATTTAGGAAGCCAGCAGCAATGAGGGTTTCCTCAACCTCTACCAGAAGAAAGCCTGTGAGAACTAAAGTGCAGATTAGAGGCCTCCTGAAAGAGTGGATGGAAACCAAATAAGACAGTAGCAGCAGCAGCTGCTACCATCGCGGCCAGCAGCAACAACTGCAAAGATAAAAGGCTTATTTTGAAAAAAAAAATAGCACAAGGGAGGGAAACTTTCCCATGGTTTGCCACATTGAATTTTCCACATTCTTATAGGATCACGGAGCTGCTGGGTTCTGAGTTATTCCATGACCAGCCAGAGGGTTTTAAAGGACCTTTGAATAATAATAATCAATCTCCTAAGGTCACATCAAATATCATAGTTAATAGTGAAGAAGTTAATAATAACGTAAGGTTGCTAAGAGGGAATTCATTGGCTGCTCAGCTAAATGTTAGAGGATCACCCATCCCCTCTTAAGCCACTGAATAAACCGCACTCCCTGGCCCATGACATTCAAACCTTCCATTACCGCAATGAAAAGAGATAGTGGATCACCCTGCCTTAGACCACGAGAAGCTTGAAAAAATGAAGAAGGGTCTCCATTAATAAGAACAGCAAAAGTAGTAGTAATGCATGCATTCATCCAGCGCCTCCATTTATCCCAAAATCCATCATCCCCAGCATATAATC